AAAGAGTACAGACCATCCAGTAAGCCATCTGTACTTGTATTTTAAGGCATTGTTTTATGTGCCTCTTTACATACACTATGTAGAGAGACTGGCTTGGAATGAATGGGAAGGGAACAACAACAACAGCAAAAATACTAACGATGACATAGCAGTTTTACATTTTTGGTAGAATAGGGATTCTTCGAAGTTTCCTGGCTATCTAGTTTAAATACTGTCTGGAGGAATCAATACATTTTTAATTGTAGCTTGTTGAGTTCACAGTAGTAAAATGAGATCAGTTAATCAAGAAAGGGCAATTCAAAAAAATGCTTTATGTTATTTAGCTGTAAAATTAGCTCTTTAAAAAGTAAGAACTAATTGCTACAAGTTGAAGATACATTTCAGAAATAGACAATTTTGTTTAAAAAATCAGTTTTTAAATGTGCTATTCTCTGTAAGTGTTTCTTGGTATATTTTAAATTTCTCACTGTGAAACAGAATCTTTGGCTGTGGTTAATCCATGTCTTCAAGAGGCTAATCAGACTCTCCTTCTCTCGCTCTTCCACTCCCGCTTCCACTTTCTCTCTTTTTCTCTGTCTTAGTAAAGAATTTACCTTGTTTGTATGGTGGTGGTCTTTGCCAGCAATTGATTTTCTTTGACTCTAGGAATATCACTTTCTGTTTGATCAGTGCTTCCTGCTTTGTTGCTGCCACCATCCTTCCTTAAACACATTACTATCCAATCTGGTTTCCCATTTCTAGTAGCTGTCAAGTAAGTCTTTATCATATTTGTCTTTTACATTTTGGAAATAGTTTTCCGGTTCTTAAATTCTACTAAGTCAGTGGCTCATGTAACACAAATTTCTAGAATTGTGTCTGGCATATGTTTGGTGTCCAGAAATATTTGTTATGTTAAGTAGTATGATTTATTTCACTTATTTCCATTTCTTTTCTCAGATAAAAATTATAATCCTTATTTAACAGATTCTGATTACTGAGCCTGTTTTCTGTCCTTAATTCCCTTTCTGAATGAATCTCCAGTAGTAATGAGTCTTTCTGAGTTGCCTTCATCTAAAAGCTATTTGTAGGTCAGTGTCGACATATGCTTATTATGCCAACTGCTTCTTTTATCTGTCTTCCAGGTTATGTCAATTGATTAGCAATGCAACAGTAGTCCTGGATTTCAGTAATAATAATCATCATCCTCACTATTATTCTGTTCTAAGAACTAATAAAAATTTTAGTTTTGTTCTATGTTGAAAGCCTATATTATCTATTACAACCTATCAGATAAGAAGAAATACTCCATAGGAGATGATTACAAATGTCTTCCAATAAAATCAGATTACTATTATAGTGCTATAGCACTATAGCAATACAGGAAATATTTCTGAGCAAGTAATAATTACATAAATACATGTGGCTTTGTGCTTACTGTCATTAGCTACCACACTGTTAAAATATGGTTAATTATGAGAAAGAAAAGGGATTAATTGTTTTTGAGATAGCAATATGAGGGAACTCTTGACAACATTTTAACAACCACAACAATGAAGGAATGAAATCTGGGTTATGGATTCTGCTTCCCTCTCTGCACTAAACTTTGTTTCTAAATTCTGTAACCAATAGCTCTCTTGTTTGTAAGATATTATTGCTATAAATGCTGAACTCCTGCCTCCAGTCAGCCGAACTATATCTTCCATCTCTCACCTTTCAGGTCCTGCAACTTATAAATGTTACTTTTGCTGGCTCCTGGGGTTTGGTTGAATACATTGTTTTCCCTATATATTCACCTACATAGAAGACTGATCAGCTGGGTGTGGTGGCTAATGCCTGTTATCCCAGCACTTTAGGAGGCTGAGGCGGGTTGGATCATCTGAAGTCAGGAGTTCAAGACCAGCCTGGCCAATATGGCAAAAGCCCGTCTCTACTAAAAATACAAGAATTAGCTGTGCATGGTGGCATGCGCCTGTAATCTCAGCTACTCTGGAGGCTGAAGCAGGAGAATCACTTGAACCTAGGAGGAGGAGGTTGCAGTGAGCTGAGATTGTGCTACTGCGCTCCAGCCTAGGTGAGAGTGAGACTTCATCTTAAAAAAAAAAAAAAAAGACTCATGAGATTTTCACTTTTTCCTCAAATTATAGCATCAATTTCAGGGACAAATTATATATTTATCATATTCTAAAACTTTATAAAAAATTTTAGTCCACAAAAGTTGAGATCTATCTCCTAGACTGAAAATACCCTGCTTCCCTTTTCTATTTTTCTTTATATCTACTTACTTTCCAGTGTGATTGCTGTTAGTAATCAGTGTCATTTTCCAATTTCAGTTCTAGGATTACAGTGTTAGAAGAAGGGAGGCAAGAAAATTCCCCATTTGCTTTTGCCATAAGAAAAAAAAGATTTTACTTTTCCTCCATAGTCAGATTCTTGGTACGTTTTCTAGATGTGCTACCAGTGTCTCAAACTCGAAATGAGATAATACGCCCTAATTGCCCCATTTCAAGAATCACAGCTGTCACCAAAACACAAATCTAACACAGGAAAGAAAGTACCCGGAATGATCTATATGTTTTTTTCTGTGTTAAATTGACTTAAAATCTTGTATGTGACTCTGGTAACAGAGATACACACTACACACATATACACATTTTTACACAAGTATAAACATTATACATATCTTTTCTTTAAATTTTACAGACCCATAGTGATAATCATTAAAAAATTAAGCCTGGTATGACAAACATTTATCAAGTTCTGTCAGTTCTGCTAATATTGTAAAGCTGTGCAGAATGCTGTGTTGGGAAGATTCTAGGCCATAATGGGCCAAGGTAGAAAAGAGCATTACAGTCTCTTAACTATGTCTGTAATATAGTTATTGGAAGAGATAAAAAAGCAATCTATTTGTTATCCATGACCTAATCTGATTATCTGTGCGAAAACTCCTCCTTTCATCTTTTTGATGAAAGAATATATAAACATCCATTCAGTGTGCAGAATTTCATTGAACATTTCATAATTTCTAATTATAAGACAATGTATTATGTTTCAATCAGGAGTTAATATTAAGCATTAGTAAAACTTATTATTTATTTATTTATTTTTTGAGACAGAGTTTCGCTTTTGTTACTCAGGGTGGAGTGCAATGGCGCGATCTCGGCTCACCGCAACCTCCGCCTCCTGGGTTCAGGCAATTCTCCTGCCTCAACCTCCCGAGTAGCTGGGATTACAGGCACGTGCCACCATGCCCAGCTAATTTTTTGTATTTTTACTAGAGGCGGGGTTTCACCATGTTGACTAGGATGGTCTCGATCTGTTGACCTCATGATCCACCCTCCTCGGCCTCCCAAAGTAGTAAAACTTATTAATTCAACTTAATTGAAGGTAAGAATAAACCAATTTAGGAAAATAAAAGAGTGTCATTATTTTGAAGTAAGCTACTGAGAAGGATTAGAAAAAGGGAAGGTGTATTCATGGTCTTAGGGAGTACCATTCACAAACTATGGTATAAATGTCACCCCCTAGAGTTGCACAAGACACAACTCTCACAACCATATGTGGCAATCCTGATGTCTGACTATAAAAGAAAGAAATAGTATAAAATATAATAGTGGCCATATTTGCTTACCTCTTTATAGAATATAAAGGGAAGAGGAATGCATCAACATAATTGAAGCATATATTAGTTTAGGATTTCATATCCTGTTTTTCATTACTCATCAAATATTTATTTTAAAATTCTAACCTGTATTTTTAAGATAAATAATTATATATAGTGAAAACTTTAATATTTCACCTCCCCAAAGTACTAGAGATTTAAAATTAGCAATGCTCAAATTAAAGGTATTTTATTGACTCTTGGCACTCTACTTTTTAAAATAAGATTACAGTGTGTGAATGGAGACCAACAGGCTGGAAATTTTCCCCAGACCAATAATAATTCTTTTATCTTCAATAATCCACTTAAAATGCTAAAACTGGGTTGTTTTCCAATATTTTATAATATTGAGACAGTTCACAAGGAGTTCTCTGTTCTGTCCATCTTGATGCTTTTAAATTCTTGACGTTCTCTGGTTTTATTTTTATTTTCCTATTCTCAAAATCACTGCCAATCAGTGAATCTTACCCACCATTTCTTCTTAGTTTGTTGCTTATTTAAAAATCCACAGTTTCTTCATTGTACAGATATATCTTAGCTTTCTCTGTTGAAGACTCTGCCAGACACTCCAGAAAACTTTACTCAGCATTCTCTTCTAATTGTCTTATTCCCAGCTCTAATCCTGATGCCAAGATTTCTATTTGAATGACTTCTTCCTAGAATGCTAAATCTTCAACCTTTTAGGAAAGCTTCATTCCTTTTACCTTCCTCTATTCCTTAGAAAATCAGTAGAGAATTCTACTCAGTATGCAACCCTGAATTTGTTGCTCTAGTAAATGAATATTCTCTGTTGCTCTCACATAGTAGAGTGAGTTTATTTCTTCAATTTTTGCTTAAAGTCAACAAATGTCTGGCTTATTAATACTGATTATTTTATATTGTGTTTTATAATGCACCAACACCTGGCATGCCATCACATGAAAACACATTTGATACGTTTAAATGATACCATTGTCTTCTTTCAAATATTACATATCTGATCTCTTTCCCTTTCCACTATAACAGGAAATTCTTTCTCTATTAATCAGAAATTGCAAATGATAACCTTTCAAGTGGTTAAGATGCAATAGAAAGGTATACAACTTCAATTATATATGTCTGTTTATAAACATGTCTTTTTCTTCATGACTATGAACTGGTGCATGGCATGACATCAGCATGACAAATAATGTTGTTAAACCATCACTATCTGACAACATAGCAGGTCCTTTGTTAAATGGTTTTGGTACCTATTTTATTGATCTTATGAAGAGAAAATTGGTTTGCAATATAAATTTCCTTTAAAAAGTCAGTGAAGATCAAAGATGCATTTTAAAATAGAAGCTGATGAGAAACATCTTTGTAAAAAATGAAAGACACTTACAGGAACCAGGAATTTCTTAATCTCTTCCAATGCATGACTCATACGTGAATAAGCTTCCCCAGGTGGAGCAAACACTTCAATTAATACATGAAGTTCATCACTCAAGTGGGCATACTTGGCTTCCCCACTCTTCCTTAGTTCTTCTTCCTGTGAAAAAGGTTATTTTTAGAAATACAAATCCACTCGTTTTACATTGATTTAACATTTACTGAGAATATGACAAAGGGGTATAATTTAAGCAAATTTTTCCATAAGTAGGAAGAAAACCTTTGAGAAATAAAAACCTGCTACAAGCCATTTAAAGATTTTAAAATCATTTTTGAGTGTTTGAATGATTTAAAAAACTGGCATAACTATCATCCACAACAGATTTTAATCAGCTAAATGAAAATGCTAAACTCCTGAAAATAAGTCACAGAAATGCCATTAACACTGTAGTCTACATGACTACATTCTGGAAGGAAAGAATTGTTTTGTGCTTGAGGTTTAGCATTTTGCAGATAGTGAGTGAAAGATTGTCACTGTGTTCTTCAAGAAAATTAGAACTTTCTAGCTACTTTTTGAGAAGTTAGGAAAAGGTTATTTGATTGTGATAAAAAGTAGGCTAACTATAGAAGTGAAGGCTTATTTCTATGCCTATGTTCCCACCAGCTCAGATTATCAGCAAGCTTCATACCCACATCTTTTCTATCACTTGTTACTTTTTCTTTTCTTTTTTTGGTCAATAAGGGTATATTAAAGGGATGGTTGTTTAACACTTTGCTGGTATTGATTCTGAATGGGCTAAATAACTTCTACTTAACTAATGATATTAGGTTGGTGCAAAAGCAATTGTAATTTTTCCCATTAAAAGTAATGGCAAAACCTTTTAATGGCATTACTTTAAATGACAAAAACCACAATTGCTTTTGCACTAACCTAATACATTTCTATTGGAATACACTTTTCCTAGTATTGTGCCCAAGCCATTATTGAAACTTGGCTAGTTCAGTACACGTGCAGGGCAAAACAACCTATCATATATATATTTTGTTAATGTATGCTAAGTATTTTATACATATGATCTCTAATCACAATCATTTTGTACATAGTCAAACGTTTCAGATTATGAAACTGAGGTTAGAAGACTTAAGTAGCTTCAGCCAAATTAGGATCCAAACTCAGTTCATTTTGCAGATTTGTATTTTTTAGAATTTTAATATGTAAAATTTTGTGGAAAAGTTAACATAAATAACATTAATTATATTTTACCTTTCTTGCCCCTCACAGAAACAATTAGCAGTTACTACACTAAATTCCAAAAAATAAAACTAAACATGTAATTCTTAGTTTTATATAGAGATTAGAAACATGACATGAATAGACCTAACCTGGACTTAAAACAGAACAAATTTATTGTTGATGTCATGGGAGTTAACTGTATAACCCATGCTAATGTCTGTATTTATCTGATTAGAAATGCTCAGAGTTTTAAAAGATGAAGGATCCATTAAAGAGATGGGAAGGCATCGCTTCTTTCCTGTATATATACTCTTCAGCTACTCAAATCCTTCTGATAATACCACCTTGCAGCCTGGAAATCCACTGCTCATTTCTCTAAGGATACTTTAAAACTCTAGGATGGATATATATATATATATATATATATATATATATATATATATATATAAAATAATTTAATTATACTTTGAGTTCTGGGGTACATATGCAAAAATGTGCAGGTTTGTTACCTAGGTATACATGTGGCATGGCAGTTTGCTGCATCCATCCCCCCATCATCTACATTAGGTATTTCTTCTAATGTTAGCCCTCCCCAATCCCCCTACCCCTGCTATCCCTCCCCTAACACCCCAAAACCCTGAAAAGCCCTGGTGTGTGATGTTCTCCTCCTTGTGTCCATGTATTCTCATTGTTCAATACCCACTTATTAGTGAGAACATGTGGTGTTTGGTTTTCTGTTCTTGTGTCAGTTTGCTGAGAATGTTGGTTTCCAGCTCCATCCATGTCCCTGCAAAGGACATGAAATCATCCTTTTTTTATGACTGCATAGTATTCCATGGTGTATATGATACTGGTACTAAAACAGAGATATAGACCACTGGAACAGAACAGAGACCTCAGAAGTAACATAACACATCTCCAACCATCTGATCTTTGACAAGCCTAACTAGGACTTTTTAACTTAAGAGCTTTTCTTAGTGACCAATTATCAGTTTGAGGAGGAGAAGCAGACTAGACTGAATGAAAACCCACCCATGAGGTATAGCAAACATTTCTTTTCTCTTTGGGTCCTGCTAAGATGCAAGCTGCTTGTCTCTTCTGAGGCCAGCTTGTTTGATACTGAAGTAATTAAATCAGAGATTTCTTGACACTGTCTCTTTCTATTACTTTCTATATCGATTCCCATCCAGTTATTTTTGTGTTACTCTCTCCTTATACCTAGAATTTCCTAGGGAATTCAAATAATTTTCACCTCTATTAAGCAAAATAATATGGTTATTGAGTGGTGTTTCCTATAGTGACATGTCCAGTTCATGACAGAGCTCAACAAAATAAAGAAAACAGCAGTTAATTGACCCTACTATCCTTTGAAGATACAGTGATAATCATCATTTGCTACTTGGAATGATGCTTTGTAATCACATCTTCCATAAGCAGTGTGTCCAAGAATTTCACAAAGACATAGGGTTCTTTATAGGGAGATTATCATGCAAGAAAATGTTTCCACATTGTCAAGAATAGTAGCTACCTGCTTTTTGTGTTTTTATGAATAATATATCATAAATTGTTCATAATCTAATATGGACCATGTATGCCTCCTCTGTTCTACTCCAGATGCTGGTATTTTGTCCTTCTAGATCCTCCTCTGAGGTATCACACCATCACCACCACCACCACCAGAAAGAACTCCTGAGTAACTGAGGTGATGACTTTTAAACACCTATGTGCATATCATACACACAATATATATGTAGTCTTTTCTCACATATCTAATTAGAGAATAAACCTTTACTACTATCCACTAAACTGCCTCATCAAATTAACTAAATATGTACTCCCCACATGAGGTTTTAAAATTAATATCTTAGACAGTTTGACTGCTCAGGGTAGTAGATTCCTCTCTAGTACACCCAAATCCATCAGCTCCCATCTCTTAAATTGTATAAACAAGAGTCAGCATCATGTGTTTGCAAACCTATTTATATTAGTAGTAGTATTTGTATCGTATGCTTTGTTATGGTATTTTACTGTATGTTTATATTTTTCCTTTCAAAACAATCAACACGGAATTGCCTAACAACACATTTCTAAGAACTTATTTTCATTATTAAGCACACATGACTATCCAGAATTAACAAAGCTGAAGGTAAACAACTCTACTTATGAAATATGCAAGAAAGTAGGAAGTGTTGTTTCCTAGAAAAACCATAGACGGTATGAAGCACGAATGGTATGTTTTTATTAAGGCAAAATATCATTAATCTGGGGCTAACAGACTCAGTTTTATTTTTTTTGTTTTTATTTTTGTAAAAGCACAGAGGTGGGAAACAATAAAAGAAAACCTGAATGGATATGAAACATTTTTAGAATGTTAGTGGGAAATAACTCATATTACATTGATATGAAAAACTGTAGAAATTTTATAGAAAGTAAGTTTTATGTTGCCTGGTCAAAGCTGGATACATTTGAATGGGTTCCTTTACAAAGATTATTATTTTATTATGTTTTTTTTTTTGAGACAGGGTCTTGCTTTGTTTCCCAGGCAAGAGTCCAGCGGCATGCCATTTCGGCTGACTGCAATCTCTGTCTCCCAGTTCAATCAATTCTGCTGCCTCAGCCTCATGAGTAGCTGGGACTACAGGCACACATCACCATGCCCGGCTAATTTTTCTATTTGTAGTAAAGACAGGGTTTCACCATGTTGGCCAAACTGGTCTCAAACTCCTGACCTCAGGACATCCACCTACCTTCTCCCAAAGTGCGTGAGCCATCAAGCTCAGCCAGATTTTAATGGACTTGTGATCTAAGGGATCAAATTGATGCCCATTAATCAACTAAGATGGGCCTAAGGCTAAGAAAACGGAAGTTACTTGTGAGTCCAGTGTTCAGGACCTAGATGGCATGGCAAATTACCAAATTCCTACCACTATAAGGAAAACTACACCTTAGCTAAACTTTCTATCAATAGAGCTACGAGACTGACTTACAACCCAACTCACTACAACTCAGACTGGACAAAGGATTGACCTTACAATATTCTTTTCTGATTAGCTATTGCAAAACTTAAGCCAGTTTCAGCCAGCTTATAGAGGCTGCATACAAACTGTCTTTGTGTATTACAATTCACTTTTTGACATAAAGAGCTGAATTCCATGTCATTTTAATGCTAAAACCTCACCTCAAAATGAACATGGGATGTATGTTATACACATGTTTACCCATTGGGCATGCCCTCTGTTCTCTCATAAACAGGTATAGCTTTTCCCCCAAATCTGCTGAATATGTATAATATAGGCCCTGTGAGGCATAAAACCTATTCTGTCCTTCCCTTCTTTTATATTTATTTTTATTTTTTATTGTACTTTACATTCTGGGGTACATGTGCAGATAATGCAAGATTGTTGCATAGGTACGTTCATGGCAAGGTGGTTTGCTGCCTCCATCCCCCAATCACCTACACCTGATATTTCTCCCCACATTATCCCTTCCCACCCTCCCTCCCACTATCCCTCCCCTAGCCCCTGCAATGGACCCCAGTGTGTAATGCTCCCTCTCTGTGTCCTTCCTTCTTTAAAGAAAGAGCACTTTGATCCTCACTGGAGAGTTTCTCTTCTCAATTTGCAAGCTGATATTGTCAATAAAGCTCTCTTATCTACTATTTAGCCATCCTGGTGGTCTTTCAAATGACAACTTTTATATCAATAGGTCACTGATTCAAAACTAGAGTTTGGTTTTTCTGTTAAAACAATAATGTTTTCTTGGATTATTGGTCTGCTCTTAAGAAATTATAAAAGCTTTTCTTTACCTGTTAAGTAGTCTGCCTAGAAAACATTCTGTGTCTTATCAGAATAACTTCTTATGCTTTATGTTAACATTTATCACCTTCAATTATTTAAGACAACCAAGTCCTCTCATTTAAAAAAAGA